GGCTCCGGCGGCGGGCTGGCGGCTGGGCCCGGCTGGGACTCGAGACGCGGGGCTGGCCTAGGCGTAGCGGAGGCGGAGCTGGTCGGAGATTCCCGAGGGCGCCGGGGCGCCGGGCAGCTGCTCGGAGGTGTGCAGCAGCGAGCGCCGAAGTGCGGGAAACTGCCTCGGCCTTCTTCCTCGTCTCCACGGCCCGGGCACACTGCGACCTCGGCATCCTCGCCGGCCGGGGACTTCGGATCGCTGGACCACCCGGCCCGGCCCCCGAGGTGCTTCAGGCCATCCGGGGCCCAGCCGCCGGTGCACAGGGGGGCGCGAGGGCCCAGCAGCACGGGGGCCCGCGGCGCCAGCTCCCCAGGCCCCAGAGAGGACGCCCGGGGTTTGGCAAGGGCGCAGAAGGCAAGGGCACGCAGGCACAGCGGAGAGAACTCCTGGGTCCCCCGACGCGGCTTCCGGGCTGTGGGGGAGCAGGGCGACCCTCGCGGGGTCGCCGGCACTGCCAGGCGGGGGGCAGGGCACAGAGTCTCCATGGAGCAGCTTGAGGGGGTGCCCACTGAGGTGGTCCTGGTCCCAGTGGCGGGATGCCTCGGCTGCCCGAAGAGCCCACGGGCGAAGGGAACATCGCCCCCCCCCCTCGACGGGGAGGTCTCTGCTCACGGGCGCCCCCGGCCCGCAACCCGGGAGCCGCGGAGCTCTGGCTCCCTCCTCGATCTCGTCACGCGGCCCTCCCGGCGGCCGGACTCCTGGGTCCCTGCGGGTCCTGGCGCGGTCGGCCGCCCTTCCTGCCGCCGCGTTCCCTGCGCAGCCCCGGCGGGAGCCCCTCTCGAGTCGCCCGAAACGCAGAGGCAGGGGAAACAAAGCGGCCGGTAGCCGCGGGAGGCGGGAAGGACCCCGGGCCCGGCACCCGGTGCCCGGGCCCAGGCGGCGGCGAGGGCGCCTTCCGCCCGCTCGGCTTCTTTCTTCCCCGCTGGCTCCCGGAGACCGCGTTATAGAGAACTGCCCCCTCGCTGCCCCAATACCAGCGCCCGGGCCGCGAGCCCTCCGCTGATTGGGCAGCACTGCCTGTGACGTTGGCCCGGACCCCACCCCTCCGGCGGCACCGCCCCCGTCCCCATTCCGCACACAGACACACACACGTGGAGCCGGCGCGGCGGCGGCTGGGAGGGAGCAAAGAAGGGAGCGTGCGCGGGTGGGATCGCGAGGAGTAGATGCGCCGCCGCACGTGGCCCGGCGGCGTCCTGCGATTTAGTCGTTGCGTTTTTTTCCCTAGCTGCGACAGTTTTCGCATCCGTAAAATGGGAATGTTCATATCCGCCCTCTTGAGGCTGAAAGAGCTACGTGAATCAAACACAGGTGAATCTCAAAAACTATATTGAGGGAAAAGATGAAATGAGACGATGGTTGTTTACAAGCTTAGCGCAGCAGGGACTGCTGCGGGCAGAGAATGTTTCTTACCTCTCTGTTCTGGGCCCCTACAACAGTGCCTGGCACACAGTGGGCTCAAAAAATGTGTGTAGAACGAGTAGTTCAGTAAGTGTGTGCAAGATGAACAAAGGGGAAAATAAATCTGCAGGGGAAATATGATTACACCCACAGAAGACGTTAAATAGGCTTTCTCAGTACTTGTTTCCATTTCTCTGACTCAGTATCCCAATACCCCGCCTCTTAGCTAAATTTCGAGGGGCTGGCTCTGCAGCCGTCCTTCAAATCCCAATCCCTCTGAGGCCCGAGCTGCCAGCATGGGTTAAAGAGGCCAGGGGAGGGGACACAGAGACCCTCACTCTCACCTCCCCGAAGCAGAGTAAAGCAAAGAAAAAGTGAATTCCCAATAAAAATCCTGATAATGCAGCACACATACACCCCCAGCACGTTCTACCCTCTCACCCTTTAGTTTCTTCATAGTTTACTGTTACATGAAAGTCTGTGGATGTGTTTATTCTTTAGTGTCTGTCCCATTAGACTGGGAATGAGCTGATGAGGACTTTGTCTTGATCACTCCCGTGTCCCCACTGCACAGAACATTGCCCAGACGTAATAGGTGCTCAATGAATATTTGTAAATGAATCAATCAATCCCCAGGATATTTCTGTCTTGATAAAAATCAGGTTACTGGAATAAAGGCTGCTTGCCATCTGCAGAAATGCAGAGATTGGTATGACGGCATGGAGTAAAAGTGTGAAAGGATGCTGGGGTGGGGGCCGTGGGGGGCACAGAGGGAAATATCTCATTCTGGGGCCAGGGCAAGAGAAGGTGTATGTAGAGGGATGAATGATGCAGCTTGCATCCTGGCCCATGTGGCAGTGACATCAGAGGCATTGTTTTCCTACATGTCATCAAATAACATCTGGAAAGAAAGGGATACAGAGGGTCTGCCTCCCCCATCTCCCTTTTGCAGAGGCCAGAAGTAAAACCCCTGGGGTGGGGTTAAGGTTTGAGGAAGGAGGGGGTGTAGTGTTCTATTGCTTAAAAAACTCACCCGCTAATGCTAACGTCTTCTGCAGAAGAAATCTCCAGGGCAGTTGTCATAAGAGGGGATCCTGTCCAGGTCCTGTAGCTGAGCTGGTTCTAAACTCCAGGATTCATAACTGCCCCGAGAGCCCCGGCCCCACCCTACACACACACACACACACACACACACAAGGAAAGTTCTAGAAAGATGACGATCTTCTCTTTTTGTCTCTCTTCTGCGGGACAATGCTGGAGACTCTTACCCTGAGACAGCAGTGCCAGATTTCTTTGCTTGTACCGAAGGGGTATCCGCTTCAGTCCAGCTCTACTCCAGCCTCTTCACAGCTGAGATGCCTGGAGAGGGGGCTTGGGCCCCATGTGCAGGGACTGGACTGGGAAACTCCTTTTATCTCCCAGATTCTCATTTATATTTGCATTCTCGTGCCTAGCACAGTGTTGACTTTACACAAGAAGAGAATGCCCAAGAAAATTTTGGTTTGAATGAATAAGGGAATTTTACGTAACAATGCAGATCATCAGCCTCTTCTTTCTCTGACTCTAAAAGCTTCCAGCCTCACAAATCTGAGTTTAGGGGCTTTACTGAGGGTTCATTACTATTGAGAGTCCTTCCCTCCACCTCCACTTTCCCTTCTTCCTCTTCCTTTAATCAGGCTCCACAGAACACAGCTGGGGGCATGAAAACACTTTACAAACAGTGGGGGTTAGCGTGAGTATCTCTCCAGCTAAAAGGACCTGGAGTCATCGAGCCACCTTTTCAGAGGGCTTGGACTGGGGGTACCAGCTGTGCTACTCTAGGCAGGTCACCTAGACACTCTGAGTCTCAATGTCCCTATTAGTGAAGAGAGGACAACAGTGGCTTCCTCACACATTGGCAGGAGGGTTGAAACGTGTGAGCGGTCACCATCACTTCTGTGGGCTGGCCCGGCTGTTGCAGTTCCCACTGCCTACGGTAGAGGACACTCGACCCCGTACTCAGCCTAAGAGATGAGGGAGGCAACACCCTTCTCGGGAACCTCTCCTCCCCCTAGGAAAAAAAGAGGGACATGGCTAGATGCTGAGTCCCACCTGACACATCCAAAATAAGGGATAGAAAGAGCCCCTGAGGATCTAGAAGCCAGCTCTTCCCCTTCCTTGACCCATCCACCTCTCACCCCAGGCAGTAAGGACTGTGTTCAAGGATTCTGGAGCACGGCACCTGCCCAGTTGCCCTTTTTCCAAAAAACGGCACCACAGGGAACTGTGCCCCGTACCATCTTCTGCAGCACTCACTGCACCCCAATCTCTGTTCTAAGATCTCCATGCTATTTAATCCCCATAAAAATCCTATGTAATAGATACTATTTTTTAAAATGTACATACCACGCAACCCATTTTGAGGGTCCAATTCAATGAGTTTTAGTGAATTCACAGAGTTATACAAGCAGCATCATGATCCAGTTTCAGGACATTTCTTATAAGATCCCTCATGCCCGCTTGCAGGAACTCCCCACTTCCATCCCCAACCCTGAGTGACTAATCTACTTTCCTTCTCTATAGATCTCCCTTTTCCGGCCATTTCACATAAATGGAATCATACAATGTGTGGCCTTTTGCATCTGACTTCTTTCTCAAAAGCAGAATGTTTTTGAGGTTTATCCATGTTGTGGCATGTATAGTAGTCCCATTCTTTTTACCACTGAGTAGTAGCCTATTGTAAGGATATACCACATTTTATTTATCCAATCACATTTGGGTGGTTTTCACTTTTTGGTTATTATGAATAATATTGTTATGAACATTGGCATACAAGTCCCTGTGTGGACATATGTTTTTATTTCTCTTAAGGAGATTGTTAAGAGTGGAATTGCCAGGTCTGGTGGTATACTTATGTTTAACCTTTTTAAAAAACTGCCAAACTGTTTTTCAAACTGGCTATACCATTTTACATTCCTATTAATATCCATGTTATAAATGAGGACACTGAGGGAGAGAAGTTAAGTGACTTGTTTAAGGCATTCTGCTAGCATGCGGCACAGCCAAGACTCAAACCCTGGCAGCTGGGTCCTAAGTCCATGCTCCTGACCACAAGTCTATCCCATGACGATGATGCGTCTAACAGGGAAGCCATTTCTCAACCCCATCACACCCCAGCCACCACCATTTTGGCTCTTCTTGCTTCCAGAATACCCTAAGTTAGACTCTGTTCCAACCCAGTTGGGCTGTGTCTCCCCCGAGTATGAACCCACATGTTGTTCTATCACCTCTGGAAATTTGCACCCATGGTTAGTAGCTTAAGTTCTGGACTCAGATGGGTCTGTTCACATTCCAGACTCATTTTACCAGCTGGTTGATTTGGGGGCATGTTACTTAACCTCTGAAAGCTTTAGTTTTCTCATCTATAAAACAGGATCTTCCTTCATGCAATTAAAAAATGTTTTATTATGGGGCCGGCCCGGTGGCGCACTGGATAAGTGCGCCGCTTGGGAAGTGCGGCGGCGCTCCCGCCCGAGGGTTCGGATCCCACATACGGACCGGTTCCCGCTCACTGGCTGAGCGAGGCGCGGGAGCGACCCCGAGGGTTGCGATCCCGTTGCCGGTCCCCGGTCCGGTACGGGCGCGATACTGAGGGTTGCGATCCGTTGCCGGTCCCCGGTCCGGTACGGGCGCGATACTGAGGGTTGCGATCCGTTGCCGGTCCCCGGTCCGGTACGGGCGCGATACTGAGGGTTGCGATCCGTTGCCGGTCCCCGGTCCGGTACGGGCGCGATACTGAGGGTTGCGATCCGTTGCCGGTCCCCGGTCCGGTACGGGCGCGATACTGAGGGTTGCGATCCGTTGCCGGTCCCCGGTCCGGTACGGGCGCGATACTGAGGGTTGCGATCCGTTGCCGGTCCCCGGTCCGGTACGGGCGCGATACTGAGGGTTGCGATCCGTTGCCGGTCCCCGGTCCGGTACGGGCGCGATACTGAGGGTTGCGATCCGTTGCCGGACACGAAAAAAGACAAAAAAAAAAAAAAGTTTTATTATGGAAAATTCCAAACCTGTACAGAAATAAACAGAGGAGTGTAATGAACCTCCATGT